CAGTGTCTTTGGAGGCAGTTTTGCAGTAAGGTCTGAAATAATGCTTCAACGCCACCGTTGTCCAAACCAGCAGGTTTAAAGTACTGATGCTGATCACCTCTGGTCTAACATGAAGATATAATGTGCAGGAGTTAACATTAGGAACTGCTGAGGGCAGGATGGAAACTTTGAACAAGATTTATGAGGGAAACCCTCCTGCTGCATCATGAGGTTCAAAAAGGTTCTGGCTTTCTAATGCTCTCCTCAGAGAGAAAACTAGGTGTGGCTAGATTCAAACCCAGTCCCAGACTTGGTCAAGAGTTTATGTCTGAAGATTTTTATAGGAGTAATTGAACCTTAGTACAATTTATCCTGCACAGTTAAGGATAGCAAGCCAATACAGAAGAATTATTCATTTTATTTAATAATAAAAATGCTTAGACTAAAAGATATTAATCATAATTTGTTACTACACAGTGAAGATAGTTATTACTAGTATAGTGCACGATTTATTGAATACTGAAGGAATAATATTAAAGTTAGCAAATCCATTACTAAACAGAGATTGATGTTGCCCATACCAACAATCGAGGGCAAATCTCTTCTGCTCAGCCTTGAGGAGTAGCCTTGAGGGGCATCTCCATTCAAGGGTGGAATAGCCACGGTCACTCTGAGAAGTGGCGTGTTAGAATTCCCTGCAATTAAAAAGAGGGGCTGGGCTTTTGTGCTACAAGGTGATTCACAGCCAGATGTCTCTGGGACTGCAGGATCACCTCAGCAGCTTGAGATAAGTTATCAGCACTATCACTTGATGGTGCCTCTAATAGCAACTTCACCTGGGACATCCTCACTAGTGCCAGTTTCCCTCAGGAAATGTTCTTCACATCCTCACAATGTTTCACTTTGGGACTGATGAATCAGGCTGATTCTTCATCACCAAACACAGCATGAGGCCTCTTCCCACCAAATACTGATAATTTTTGCAAATAGGGTCAAGTTTGAGCTGTTTTACCCCCAGTTAGGCAGAGCATCCTGCTACATGAGCAAAGGGGGGAGGCTGGAACAAAGTACAGACGTAATGTTGAGGCAAGAACACATCCATTTCCCTGATCCTTCTCTTCTGGATACTTGCAGGAAGCAGCTTCTCCAAATTTGTACTTAGGCAGTGGGCCCTCGGTCAGGCTTGGGAGGAAAAGGGCAAAAGAAGTATGTACTGGGCTGAGTGAAAGAATGTGTGCAGAACTGGAAGACTGGGATAGGGAGGATCCTTTTACAAATAAACTTGCTAATTTGGATTTTAATTGGAAATGGTGATAAACTTCTAAAGCTTTTTGTATTCAATTAATAATTGCACTTTCTATGTAAAGTTAACAACTTGATTTTCAAAATATTTTGCATATGTCTACACTACACTGCAGTGACTATAGTATAGAAACATCTCTTTTTCATCTTTATTTTAAAAATATATGAAAGCTTTGGGGAAAGCCAACCCTGTTACATAAAAAAATCACATAGAATCTTTTCTTCCTCAAAAATAAAGTAGGTTCTTTGATAAAATTTAAAAATTTCTAATCAGAAAACTAATCATGAAAGGTTTTTCTACCCTCATACCATTGCCCACAAGTTTTCACAAAACTGGATTGTCTCAAGGCCAGATAAACTACTGAACTGTAGACAAAAATCATTCAATGTCTTCTGCAGGCATGAGACCCATAAGATGCCTGCCCAATAACACAGTCTGAGTTTGAAAATAGCTGAACCAAGACTGGTTCAGGTTGTTTGCACCAACATTTGTCATAAAACACTCTAACTGATGATTTCTAACCACAAATTCAGTATTAGCATATTAGACTTTTATTCCAGATCTAACACAGCTGGAAATCTATATATATAAATTACATCTTAAACCCCCATTTTCTACTACAACTAAATAGGCTTTTTTTCCTTCAGTACCATGCAAATTTGTTTATTACTGCATATAGGTCTCAATTTGCCTCAAGGTGCATAGAGATGAGGTACAAAGGAATGTAATTTTTTCTTATTTGATAAGCAGGTAAATAAAGGAAATTATGTTTATAAACTGTTTGGGAAGACAACATGGGAATGTCTTAAACAGAGGTAGAAAACTGCACACACCAAAGTTTCATTAGTGGTCTTTGAACACTTTGGTCTAAAAAGAAGCCATGAACTGAAATATGACTGCTCTGTGCATATCTCTGTTTTTGGGGTCCTGAATACCAATCACTACCAACCTCTCAGAAGAAAAAAAAACCAAAACAAAACAACAAGATACCTCTAAGTTTAATCTAAACTGTTTAATCTAAACTGTTAAGGGGCTCTTCAATATCTCTGAAATAGATTTTGCAATCAGATTTTGTTATTGCTACTTCATTAAATTGATTTTTTTACATTTGCTTTGAGCATAATCTATTATAAAAGACAATATAAAAAGCTTAAATATTAATGGATTTTCCTGAAAACTATATCCTAGGTTTTCCTGAAAACTATATCCTAGGGTTTTTTTCCCTTTTTCTTCGATTATTTTCCCCCTCCTTTTTTCCCCCCCATCTTTTTTCCCGCTCTCCCATTTTTCTCTCCATTCTTTTCTGCCCTTTAGTTTTCCTTTCATTTTTTCTTTCACCCTTTTTTGTTTCATTCCCTTCTTTTTCCTGTCAGTTTTTTTACTTGTTTTCTGCAATTTTTTCTCTTCCTTTTGCTGTCTTTTTTTCTTCCATTACCCACCCTTCTTTTCACTTCTGTTTTCTAATTTCGTCCCCCTTTTTTCTTTTTTCCTTCCTTCCTTCCTTCCTTCCTTCCTTCCTTCCTTCCTTCCTTCCTTCCTTCCTTCCTTCCTTCCTTCCTTCCTTCCTTCCTTCCTT